ATGTTCATGTTCTTGTTCATGTTCATGTCCATGTCCATGTTCTTGTTCATGTCCTTGTTCATGTCCATGTCCATGTTCTTGTCCATGTCCATGTCCATGTTCTTGTTCATGTTCATGTTCTTGTTCATGTCCATATCCATGTCCATGTTCTTGTTCATGTCCATGTCCATGTCCATGTTCTTGTTCATGTTCGTGTTCTTGTCCATGTTCATGTCCATGTCCATGTTCATGTCCATGTCCATGTTCTTGTCCATGTCCATGTCCATGTTCTTGTTCATGTTCATGTTCATGTTATTGTTCATGTCCATGTCCATGTCCATGTTCTTGTTCATGTCCATGTCCATGTCCATGTTCTTGTTCATGTTCGTGTTCTTGTTCATGTTCATGTCCATGTCCATGTTCATGTCCATGTCCATGTTCTTGTCCATGTCCATGTCCATGTTCTTGTTCATGTTCATGTTCATGTTCTTGTTCATGTCCATGTCCATGTCCATGTTCTTGTTCATGTCCATGTCCATGTTCTTGTTCATGTTCATGTTCATGTTCTTGTTCATGTCCATGTTCATGTCCATGTTCTTGTTCATGTTCTTGTTCATGTCCATGTTCATGTTCTTGTTCATGTTCATGTTCTTGTTCATGTTCATGTTCTTGTTCATGTCCATGTTCATGTCCATGTTCTTGTTCATGTTCATGTCCATGTTCATGTTCTTGTTCATGTCCATGTTCATGTCCATGTTCTTGTTCATGTTCTTGTTCATGTCCATGTTCATGTTCTTGTTCATGTCCATGTTCTTGTTCATGTTCATGTTCTTGTTCATGTCCATGTTCATGTCCATGTTCTTGTTCATGTTCATGTTCTTGTTCATGTTCATGTCCATGTTCTTGTTCATGTTCTTCTTCATGTTCTTGTTCATGTTCATGTTCATGTTCTTGTTCATGTCCATGTTCTTGTCCATGTTCTTGTTCATGTCCATGTTCTTGTCCATGTTCTTGTTCATGTTCTTGTTCATGTCCATGTTCATGTTCATGTCCATGTTCATGTTCTTGTTCATGTCCATGTTCATGTCCATGTTCTTGTCCATGTCCATGTCCATGTTCTTGTTCATGTTCTTGTTCATGTTCTTGTTCATGTTCATGTTCTTGTTCATGTTCTTGTTCATGTTCATGTTCTTGTTCATGTTCATGTTCTTGTTCATGTTCTTGTTCATGTTCATGTTCTTG